GTCCATTTGTTTTTGTTTTTTTTGTTTTGTTTTTTTTTCACAATGTGCATCTATCTTTTGTCCCAATGGTAGAATGGTGAGACCTGAATTGGATGTGGTGTGAAAGGTACAGGGTGGTATTGCTGAAATGAAAAAATGTGGCATCATTACTGTACTTACGTAATCAGGACAGACTGGTTCTCACGATCTGAAATGGCAAAGAATGCTCAAAATAATACTACAGAAAAACAAAGGTAAAAAACAAAACAAAAGCCAGTGTCTCACCTGTGAGCATGAACTGATAGGCATTGTCAGAGATAGAGAAGATGTGAGGTGGGGCTTCAATCCTCTTCTTGCCTCTGTAGGCCCCAACAACTTGAGCATCGTATACAGGAAGCCATTTGTAAGGGTTCACCACGACGCAGAACAACCCAGAGTAAGTCTGTTAAATGAGATTTAGATTTCATTATATGTTGTATATGGTTTGTAAATCTATTTCTGTTTCCACATTTGCTTACGTAGATCATCCATGATGCAAAACGCTCTTTGAGGTTATACAAAACGCAAGGCTCGTTGAGGTGGGTCATCATGGCCATGTCCTCAATTTTATCAAACTTGGGAGGATTCCTTGGGTGGATGTCATCCTCTTTGACTGTTACAGTCTAAAAATAAGTATCTAGTCAACATCATGATGCAATAAAATAAAACCATGAAAATAAATTTTCACTTAACTTTTGATCAATGAAAAAAACAAACCACTTGCCTTTCCAGTATCGGTTTCCACTGTGGCTTTACCCCCTTCTTTCTTGATGAGTTTGCCTTTGAGGTACATCTCATCTGGGTCAGTCACAAAAACAGCTGTTTTGGCATCAAATGGGGTATTTTGAGCTTCAATCCTCTCCTTTTCTGGTTTCCGGAGGTAAATGGCCGCCGGACCATACTGCTCCATCTCCGCGTCCGTGCTCATGATGGCACCTTTGATGTGAAAGGAAAGATATGTTAATTTTGTTAGATTAATAAAATAAACAAGTATTATTGTCCTTAATAGTAAGTAAGTAGTTAATGTCTTACTTTAGCTCAATTCAGCTGTTAGGCAGAATCTATTTTCCACAGAGGGAGCTTGAAAGAAAAGAGAAGAATTAAATAGATTAACCTTAAAGACATGCTGTAAATCAATCAATATTTTTAAAACTCAAAAGGGCCTAATTTTAGTTAAAATTTTAGATGAATCAACATTTGCAAGAGGTAGACCTTAGACCAGATACACTAACCTGTATGGGCTGCCTGTCAGTTCTCACACATGTGGCACGCTGCTTCTTTTAAAGGCGCTGGGAGTGTCTTGTCAGCGGCAGTTAACTACTCGATTTGGTCAAGCATCTTGGACATCCCTGTCATCTTGAAACCCAGCTTAAGCAGTTCCTTTTAGTAGTAATTTTTGTTTCAAATGTCAGTGGTATTAGATGTCCATGTGACCACATCCCCATAAAGCAGTCCAATCTCAAAATGTATATTTTATATGTAATAAATTAAAATGTTCACATTTAAATTTCACAATTTCAACTTGGTATCATTTGAACACAACTGAACATATTTTAATCAGTTAGACTGCAATGTAATATTAATGGCATTGCAATATCTTTCACAGAAGATATATTTATTGTACTCAATTAACATGGATGATTATGGGATATGACCATTGAAGGAGAAAGAACAGCAAAAACAAAAACATGACAAAAAAACAAAACAAACAACTGCTGTACTTTAGACCAGTGTGTCTGTTTTAGCCAGTAGCATGAAGGGTGTTGGAGAAGCAGCTATGTTGCACTGGTATATATGGTTATGGTTATAAATAGTGTGCTGTGTCATCTCGTATTCCACTAATAAAAATGAATGTAAACCCTTTCCATAAAGTTCAAGTGGTATTACATGTTCCCTAGAAGGGCTTCCTGAAGGAGATTATCTATATTAAGTGCTACTCAAATATCAAAGATATTTGCCCTTATGTTTTGCACATGCTTAGCTGTATTAATTGCATGCTCTCTTCCATCGTACTTTGTTGACTTGCATGTGAACCTTATGTTTGTTTTAAACAAAGAGACTGCATCATATTTGGGTCAGAAGAGGTCCAAATACAAGACTCCTTAGCTGTATACACCTGCTGTTTACTACTTCCAGTGCATCGATGTAGTATGGGTGGAGTAACCCATATGATTTCTGAAACTAGCTACTTCAGTTGTTTTCCAACTTCCATCATTGCTGCAAGTATTAACATACTATACGTGCTGCAAAAACTTCTACTAGTCATACATCTGCTATGGCTAATCTTACCACTACAATTTAAACTTATGAAGGGTGATAGGGTGTAGTAAAGGGTGTAGTAGAAACAGCAGCGGTAGTAGCAGGAGTAGGCCTATTGCTACTTACTTACTTTCGAGCATCAATAACAGCAAAAGGTGCAGTAGATATGCTTCTAAAAGTAGGGTTCAGAATAGGAGAACAGAATTTTTCCCATCATTCATTTTAACAAAATTGCATTTGCATATATTATTTCTGTTCATATGAAATATTTTGGTAACTTTAACAACTGACTCATTGTTATGGCAGAAATTATTATAATTCTACTACATGTAACAGGCAGCAGCTAGAAGCTCGAATAGAAGTAACTTTTGCATTCATTCTGACATGAGAGTCTAAGAGAGTGGCTCCTGCTACAAATACCTGGGCATCCACATTAACAACAGCCTGAATAGACTTTGCGCTGTTTCTTCTTACCCACCTCTTGTATATAGTTGAAATATATTTTGTATTACACTATTTCTATATTTAATTTGTACTTACTTACACATATACATTTGTATAATTATATATTTGACCCAGTCTTGCTATTTTTATTACTTATTTTAAATGTATTATTGACATTTACATTATTGCACTTTATTAATTATACCATATTGTGATGTGTAAGCTACTATGTCCAAATAATTTTTCTTGTGGATCAATAACATCTGTCTACTGGTAGTTGTAGCCAGATTATTAGCGGAAGTATAACTAATAAGAAGGCTTAATTTGTTGCAATAGTAGTAGAAGTCGCAATATAGCCTCAGAATGTGTTTGTTTTACTTTGCATACTTTTATTGTAACCATTAAATAATATAAAATGTATAACAATGATATTATTCCTTTGGACTTCACTTGGACAAGAAATTCTAATTGCTTGTCCTTGTCCATGAAGCGCTATTGCCCCCAAGTGGACAAATTGGATTCAAGCTTGCAAGTCTGCCAAACCATGATATGCTGTTAGCAACATAATAAAAAAAAAAAAAACAAACAAAACAAAAAAAACAAAAAAACATAGTCTAGCCTAATACACAATGTTGAGTCAGAGTGCTACTTGTGCTTCCACCTCCAACTATTTACAACCACCTATTTCTTACCACTCAAAACGTGTAGTAACCACAACTGTCACTTTTTTTTTCTTACTATTTCATTTTTACCATATCAGAGAGTTAAAACTAAATTAAGAGGAAACCCACAGTGCTGTTAAAATGTACGTTCACAATTCAATTAAAATAGCAGAATGGTAATCCTCCTAGTTAGAGCAAAGGGGTGAAAAGGGTGCCTGAGTAACTCTGAGAAACATCATGTGACTTATGGCATTTTGCAGTGTTTTATTGTCCATCAGGGAAATAATGCAAAAAGATACAACAGCTTGCTTTTCATTACTTTCATATTAGCTTGAATTAGCCATGTTTTTTACTTAGCTTTGATAATTGTTTAACTTGTATGTAGTCAGTACATCTTGCTTGCGATCCTTATGTGTTTAATTATCTACTCAAGACAGTGTGTCCCAAATGAACTACAACTACACTGTAACCGACAATAGCTGGGAGCCTATTTTATATTAAGCTATAACCATCAAATGACTATGCAACAGGGGTCAAAGAAAATATTGATGTTGGGTTGTCTGTCTGATCTATGAGAATTATTCAAATTCTGGGAAGTTTAAATGCCACTTTTGGAGTCTAAAAAGGTCTGCAACTATGGCTCAGGTACTATAGCAGTCTGGCAGTTTGACCTCATATCTAACCAGGACATACCGTTGTTATGTCCTTGGGCGACACACTTCACCCATCCTGACTGATTGGTGGTCAGAGAGGCCAGTGGCATATTGGCAGCAACAGTGCCTACAGAAGAAACACAAACAATAGTGTTGAGGCTAGACATAGACCTACATAATTTTCCACTAAAGCTTGTATATAATTTAAAGCCAAGCCAAGCCGTTATATCTGAAAATCATTGCGCAAATGGTTGTGTCTAGACAAAAAGGGAGTAAAATGAAAGAAATAACATATACATTCTAATAACACTATACAGAATATGATGTTGGAAAATCAGGAAATACACAAAAACACTACTCCAACAAGACTAGCCAAGACAAAGAAAACACACATAGATAATTGATTAATTTGTGAAGAAGCACTGACTGTCCTGACTGTAGGATATCCAAGTAAAAAAGCCCTTCTAACTGCGGCAAAATGTAAAAAAAAAAAAAAGTAAAATCAAATGAAAATAACTAATTGATCTTAATTAAGTACCTATATGAAAATGTGGTACCATACATGTGATGCATACACGGTACACTGAAGACTACTGTAAAACAGACGCCAATTACTTTACTTTCGTTATCCATACTAGACTGATAGTTAAGTCGAAGTGCTGCCTTGGTGTTTCTGGTGGTGTCCATTGTTTGACCTGGTTTGATCCAGCCTAATCAGAAGTCTAAACATGTTCCCTTTGATCCACTGCCATTCTAATGAGATAACGAGATTCTTGGGTCGTGTCTACATTCAGGTATCGAAGCTGTATTTCTGCAGATGCACCTGTAAGTTATCGCCTCAACCTGCTCCTCTGTGCATTCACATAGGAAAGGCCCGCCCCCGTGGTCCAGGCGCAAATGTGATTGGCCAACGGGAATAATGAGTGATGCCAGTATGGAGCACCTGGGAGTCAGTCATCTGCAGGGCTGCGCAGCGCACTGCGAGCCGATAGCAATGCGGACGAAGAAAGGCAAAAACGGTTGGGATTCGTTTTGTTTTTTGTGTTTTGTGAGTTAATTGCGCGTTTTGACACTACAAGACGAAACTTCTGAAATAATCCGCGGTCTGAATCTCCAGACAGGGGGCTTAAAACGGTTTGAATGCTGCTCCGGGGCGGAAATTTTCCTCATAAACCCATACCAACCCACATCCGTATTTTCTCGGCGTTGGACTATTCTACTCCAAGGATGATTGCTTGATATTTGTGTACTAAAGCGTCCAGAGGTATTTTGCCACGGATCTAGCCGTTTTATACTCACTATGGGGGACTCGCCTACCATGAGGAAGACGTTTGTGGTCCCAGACATAAAGCCATTGGATTTGTATGACTGTTCTAAAGCTAAAATATGCGCAAGTGTCGGATGGCTTCTGGCGAAGTCGTACGGCAGTGCAGGTAGGTTTTACTTTTAATACTAACCGATTATTGCCAAGTTTAAGGATGTCCTGTCATTGTCTAATTTTGGCAAGAGAGCGATCTAACAAAAACTAACTTACATGTAGCCTCTGTCGGGCAACCTCAGAGTGTAGCTCAGCGGTTTTATGCACAAAGAGCAGCACCCGAAAGGGGCACCAAGCATTTTACTGACACATGTCATTTGTTCAATGACTGATCACGTTACGGGGTTTGTGACTGAAACAGGGCTTCAAACAAGGCCTTATCATGCTAACCCATTTTGCGTTTTCTGGCCGCTGGGTTTAACCTGAAATCGCTTGCTACTGGCTATGCGTTAATCCGGGCTCCACCACCAGACGTGCTGCATGGGATGGCTAAAGTGGACAGTCATTTTTCCCCAGCCAGAGTTGACAGTATAGGCCTAGTTAATCCATAGCCATTCTCTGCTACATTCTATCTTATTTTTTAATGTATTAATTATATTAATGAAATGCTTTGGTCCATTAGGTTTAGGCACCGGGCCATATTAACACCTATACCTGATAAACATTGGTCTCTACGTTCTGTTTCTAGTTGACTGCTTAACTTAATAAAAGACAGAATATTCTTAAAATGCCTTTGTTTACAAAATACACAATGCGCTTGTTATATTCCCTGCCCTCCTCGCTTTTCTGCAATAGCTCTCTCTCAGTGCATTATTTCACAACCCCAAGCAGACCTTGGGCCAATGACACTATGCTCTGTTTAGCACCTGGACCACGCCCTCGGGCCAAAGTCACTCCACGCAGTAGTGTATCAGGCAATGCAACCATTCATCTGATTAAAGTGCTTTTGGTTGTCAAAGTATCTTTCTGAACTGTCTGTAAAGTTAAGACTACATCATATTCAACTGACGTCATTTATTTTATAGTCCAGTAGATAATGTTATAATAAATGCTAGTATTTGGCCATTGACAAGCTAAAAGTTTATGTTAAAATTAGTATGGCCAGACTTATTTTGAAGAGAGCATTAACTGATTCATCCATTCTGTGAGGATAACGACACAGTTACCCTTTTGGCTTTCTTTTGTTTGCCATGGGACCTGAAAGTCTGGATTCACCAGTTTTAAAGGCTACGTTTCATCTTAGGCCACTTGGCTTTTGACAGTTCTTCTTGAGTTAATGCCATGTATGTGTCATTGCCATCTATTTCTCAATAAAGGGTCCATATTATGCAGTTTTCTGATCTGTTATAATGTTGTTTCCTCATCAAAAACTTAGCTGGAGTTGTGTTTTGTTTCATTCATATGTTTAACACACAAATCCTGCATATTTAGGATGAGTTCCTCTCTCAGACAGAAAATACTCTGGTCCGCCTTGTGATGCCATCTGGCAATACTGGAAGATTTTTAAATTCCATACAACCTTTCTAGTAGGACCATATTGATAATTTCATCCCTGGAATTGCTTATCCAGTCTTTACTGAATAAAAGGTCAAAGGTAGCTAGCTGTTAACTTAAACTTTTGCCTCTTGACATCACAAGGTGGAACAGAGCTTTGGAGATGTAGACCAACTAAAAATAATGGGCTGCTCAAACATATGTGAATGACACAAAATACAATACCAGGTGTCTTTTTGATGAGGTAACAACATTCAGTTTGGAGTCAGTTTTGAGTAATCTAGGACCTTTGAGTCTAACAGTTGTAATATGGCTCAGTGGCTGTGTAAGCAGAGGTATTAAGATGTAAAACAAAACAAACTTGTACAGGTGCAACACTATGTTAGCTCCACCTAGTACCAAAGCTTTTTGACTCATACATGCAGTAGCTGCTCTCCTCCCAGCCTTTGTAACTATGGTGAGTCAACAGGGGACGAGGTCACGGACAAGGATATGACATGCCATTTGTGTTTACAGAAATGTTCATCTCCCTTAAGCATTGATGGCTAATACACATGGTACATACAATGTAATATATTTTTATAATAGCAGAGGGAAATGCTCTTCTATATATGAACTTCAAGGTTAGTTTTGGATTTTAGTTTTTAATGTTTGCTTTTTATACAGACCTGGCCATCATATGTTAGGTGAAGTGCTACCTTTAAGGAGAAAAACACTACCTCCTTTGTGATAGAAATAACAGTGATCTACTCTGTTAGATTCATTATTCCACATGACAAGTCTGATTACAGTTTTCCAACCTCTAAGACCAAGAAAATAAATGTTTCAAACCCTTATATGTGCCAATCTCAATGTAAGGCCTGTACTCTAATAGCATGATGATTAGGCCTACACATTTTTATGTGTTATTGTTGCTTTCGTAGTAAGGAAATACTTTATAAATGTCTTTTCCTGCTTGCTTATTTTAGAGAGTGTCAAGTAACCTTTGTTTAATTTGTTTCCTCTTATCTTTATAGTAGCCAGGCTCAGGCATATCTTAAATGTATTCGCTTATCCAGGATAAGCTACGTGTTAAGAGTCACTCAATAACTTACTACATCTTTAAATAAAGCTTGACAATACCTTCAGTATCCCTCACTGCTCAACGGGCTACTAAAACTATCACACATACTGGGCTGTGATCCTTGTAACTCGTTAATGTGTTTGGAGTTTTAGCAAAGTGAAACTTGATGAGTGAAAGTTATCCTCTTACCTTGTGTGGTCACAGGTAGAATGACATCAGGGGAGTTGTACATTTTGGATAATGTGTGTTGTCATTGCATTATTGTTTTATACATTTTATAAATACAAGTACAATATACAAATATACAAATGCAATAATAAAGTATAAACTTCTTGCCTACTTTAGTAATGATCTCACTGTGTTGTAGCATTTGCATCCTACTTTGCCTCCTGTGTCAACTCTCACAGACTCTTGTACTTGACAGCACAATGTAACTTACTGCAGTGGAATTTATTTAAAATTTAAAATATTTGGAGTGTTTTATCATACCATATTTTTGAAGTAAAATTACTTGGATACAACACAATACAATATTTGTTTAGACTTACTTTCACATAAACAGTGATTTATTCCTGTCCATTTAAAACTGTCCCAACAGCATGTTTACACACTATTTTCTGCTAGTTGGGTTTGGATGTGGAAGAACCAGTTCTACAAAAGGAGTGATTTCAGAAAATGGCTGTTGTAATCCTATTGACACACAACGTCATGTTTGCTGTACTACACCCTTTTAACTTGTATAGGCATAGGTACAAAGGTTTTGGGGTTTCACATCTCTCTTGTATCTTTTTAAGTGTTGAGGCTTTATATTTGCTGTTGTAACATGGGTCATCGTCTTGTAATCTTATGATGTCATCCTTCCTTAATCTCACACTGACCCTGATGTATTACCAAATTGATTCAAGTTTATAGTGCGTAGATCATGTATAATGAATTCCAGTTGGTTGCCTTAAGTACATCTTAGGGCCATATAACAGGCAAACTAATATAAATAGCAAATATGACTTAGTAGTGAGTACAGAGCAAAAAATAAATAAATAAAATAAAAAAAATATCACATATCTACTTAAGTAAAAGCTTTGAAGTACCTGTTAAAAATGTACTTCAGGAGTAAAAAGTAAAAGTATTGTGCCTAATTTTGTCAACAGAAACTTTTTTCCTAACCGTTTTTATTCATATATTTTTGTTTTGCTCAGATGAAGAATGTGTTAAAACTAAAGCCTCAGCCTTTTCTGCAGATCTCGCAATAATAAAAAATACTTACTTACTTACTTTTCAATCCAGTAAAAAACAGTGTAGTGGAGTAGAAAGAGCAGATACTCCGCTACAAAAGTAGTGAAGTCAAAGTAAAAAGTATACATTTTAAAATCAACGTAAGTAAAGTACAGATACTTTAAATGCATACTACAATACTTTGCTGCTTTTACTTTACTTCATTATTTTCCACCATTGGTTCTGATCTACAATGAAAAACAAATCTTGCTATGTAACAAACAATACGTATATCCATTGTCAATTTACAGGATATTCAGTACATGTACACAAAACTTTACTCCACTGTCTGTGTGAAAGTGTGTACTTTTATCAGTAGCAGTGTTCCTGGGATGGGGGAGGACTTATCTAACTTTGAATGTTTTGACTGTTGGCAGAGAATGTCCCGGTGGAGCTTCGTGACCCCTTCTACTGTGACCAGTATGAACAGGAGCACCTTAAACCACCAGTCACACGCCTCCTCCAGTCCTCTGAGCTCTACTGTCGCACCTATGGCCTGATCATGGGGGCGAACCAGGCCGACTCACAGCCAAAAGACAATGTGGCCCTGTTTCAGCTTTGTGCTCAGAAAGGAATCACCTGCAAAGACAAAGATGTTCCAGTAACTGACATGGACCTGCGGCAAAAACCTATCAAAATGGTAAAGTGTTGCTGTGTTTCAGATGACATCACAATATTTTGTGAAATAATATTATTACTGACGAGGGGCAGGTAAAATTAATATAGTTAAAATGCATATTGTTGTTCACATATAGCAAGTTCTTGGGTCTAGTCACTAAAACAAATGATCAGGTTTAGCATTTAGCAGCATCCATAACTGGATTAAATTTGAATTTGTTTTTACTAGTGAAAGACCACATTAAGACCTCTGTTATTTTGTGTTGAAAAATACAATATTGCATTAAGAAGAGCTTTTAATGTTATCATTTGGTTATCAAAAATCAGTATTGAGTCTATTCTTTAGTGTTTTTCATGTATGGCCTTAATTAAATTTCTGCCCCGGTACTTTTCCATTCTGACCCTTTTACAGTTCTAATTATATAGCAATTCCCCCCTCAAAATATGGCCATTGATCAATATGTTCAGAGTTTAATTTTAATTTATGATAGCTAACCATAATTGCTGCCTCACATCATGTAATTTTTAAGTCAGTCTTGTCAAGCATCATTAAAAGGAAATTCAAGCATCTCAACTACGGACTTGTACAAGATGATATCACTTAAAAGTAGCCTTTATGACATCTTTCATATTTTTCCGTAGTGTCCATTTTACATAAATATTTGTGTATTTTCCCCAGAACATTCAAGATGGAGTTGTGGTGCACATGATTAAATGTTCTCTTTCAACAGGACAATAATATGAGGGAGATTTAGTGGTTATATAACTTTGTTTATGTGTTGATTTAAAGGATTAAATGACATAAAAAAAATTATTTAAAAAAAACTACTAAATTTAGTAAAATTAAAGTAACCCCTACTACACTGATCCTAAGAGCTGAGTGGATCCAGCTGCTAAGGCTGAGAGCCACTGCACAAGGAACGCCTTCTTTAATTTCAGGGCGTGAGGGGAACTCTGAGCTGGGGCACAATAGATGCTCCAGATCAATGGCAGAACAATGGCGGGACAGTCCTAGTGAAACTTTAGATGCACTGAGAGAGGAGAGGAACAGGTTTGTCCTCTTTGGAAAGCAACATCATGCTCTCACTTTCTGTGGCGTTTTTATTTACACCTCGTGATATTTAGACTTACTACAGACAATCGTGTTGTTTTGAATATATGCAAAATGTAAATATTGACTATATGGTTTATAATAAAAAGTAAAAATATACATAGTAATTTTTGCAAATATTGCCCACCCTAGTGTGAATGCTACTATCCAAGTTAATTTTAAATGTTGGAGATGTTTGTCACATTCTCTGTATTCTTTGGTGAGCTGTGACCGTAGTGTTATGTAGAGATGCACCGATACCGATACTGGTATCGGGTATTGGCCCGATACTTCCTTAATATACTCATACTCCATCCATCTGTTTTCTTCCTCTTATCTGGGGCTGGGTAAGAGGAAGAGCAAGCTGTGTTTTTTTTCCCAAAGCTTATAGTTTATGCAAATTAGCCATGTGGTTTTAAGTTTTGTTTCTGTAAAACATAAACAAATGTGTGCATGACTGTGTTTTTCTCCTGGTTTATTAAATATATAATTTTGGCACTTGTGCATTTGTAAGATTATGTCAAGAAACCAGGATACTACATTTGATCATATACACAGGGATATCAGTATCCCAGTTTCTCAGCACGCATGTAAACGGCATATCCCAAATACTGCCATAACCGGAATATGGCTAATGACCGCGTTACTGATGTGCAGGTAAATGCACTTAGTGCGTGTTCATGTGGGTGGGGGGTTAAAGTATCAGTATCGGTACTCAGTACTTGTATCGGTTTTCAAAAAAGTGGTATCGGTGCATCCCTAATGTTATGCTGTTGTCAGGTGAGGTGGTTTGCTCCACTGTGTTGTCTCTGTTCACTGCAGCACAACTGCAGCTGTAGCTGGTCCTGCTATGTGCTCTGTACGGCTTTACTTTTGGTTTCTCATGGAAAACTTAAAATACATTAATTTTAATTTTTACTGCTGGAGTTTTATCTTACATGCTTTGATTTTTAGGTCGCAGCTTTAGTAGGGTCTGATCTCTGGTTTTGGCTGACACACTTATTGCTGTATTTGCTGTGTGCTAGTTATTCCGTAGTATGTGAGCCTCCAGTCGCCTTTGGCCCTGGTGGCTTTCGGAGATTGTCAGCAATGAAAATGGGTCATTCTGCTGCAGCATTGGGATGGAGCATCAGTGGGTCTTGGCTCACCAAAGCTTTTCAGTCAGTGCAAAACCTGATGCCTCTTAGTTTAAGATAACATTTCAATTGCAACTTCCCTTTAACCCCTGAAAGCTGAGCCTCTCCTTTGTGACCTGGGGGAGCCCAGCCCCAGTTCCTCCTCAGATTGGGGATAAAGATCTGTAAAGATTAGAGATAATCTGTGATGCAGACTATACGTCATCATTTAGCACTGGATGTTATTACTTTTCCTGTACTAGATTCATTGGTAGATCGTAACAGTTGTATTGTTAGTCTGTATGAATTATTTTTATTTATTTTGCTGTTTGTTTTAGGGGTCATGATGCTGTTTGCAGATTTTATGCATTATTGGGTTCAGTGAGCAATCGTTTGGATTCAAATGAAAGCAATGTTTATCTGTAATTTCTGCATTATAAAGTAAATAGTTACACTCATCAATGTTTAATTATAGTTGTTTGCACTGCATTATTAGTTCAGGACCTCTGCTCTTTCTGCACATTCATAAACATGTGTTATAGTAGGATTTTCTCTGAGATCCCCTGCAAGGGCCCCAGACCTGCCTGATCCTAGTGTTTGCCCCCCTCTTTATGCACAAGTCAGCGTGGGGGAGGGGGTTAAGTAATATTTCAGACATAATCAGATTTTGTTTTCATCATAATACTGTCCTCTAATGATTGACTATAAGCTGTAACAGTGTTGTGTAGGTGAAAGGATATTGTGTATCTGTTAGTTACTCTTAAGAATGTATGGATTCATTTTGTATTCATATAAAAGTTTTGCTGTGTATTCTGTGAATGTTTGGCAGAGCTGTGCTAGTGCTAAACCAGGAGCATGCAGTAGTGCTGCAGTCAGTGGTGTGTGCAGATGCATTATGGGTCAGCTGGTTGGTTGTTATGGTGACCTGGCAGGCTGAGTGGCCTGTGCTCGAACTGCTCCTCGTTCTCCTCTCATTAGGTAGACTTGTGATTTAGCTTAAGGAGCTCTCCTGGGCCAGCTATGAAAATGCCCCTCTATCCTTGTGATCTCAACTATTGCGCATTAGGAATAGAGTCATTTTCACCAGTGCTTTTGTTCTTCTTTGTTTGTCTTAGTGTGAATATGTCCACAAAAATCTTTTATGTATTTTTCCCACTTATTTTTCTGAAATTATTTTTTATGTAAATTTAATTTAGTTAGTTCAATTATTAAAACATTTTCTCATTATTCTCATTTTCAAAAAACCTTCATACTTGACACACAGTGAAGGTTGTGTCATGTCTCATAGCCAGCTTCTTTAATCTCTACAGTTCTGGTGCACAGAGGTCACAGAGCGCTTTGGTTCTGATGGCAGCATATCCAGAGCACTGGCCCAATACTATCTGACAGCAGCGCCCACTGGCCTGTCCCAGCAGCGTGTCTGCTCGGGTCAGCACTTCACTTCAGGGTCGAATAGGCAAACACATAGACACGCAGAAGGGTCTAATACACACAGCTGGATCATTACAGTCCCCAACTGAGACAACATCAGAGGTTAGAGTAAGAATGTTTGGCCTCTAAAGTAGGTAGCAAAGGGAACAGGCACTGATTTGTACAGATTAGCTTAATGCTTTGGACATGAATTTGCTCAAAGAAGGGGATTAGTATGTACGTGTCTTGTTTATTCCCTTTTCTTGCCAACAAGTATTATTAAAAACATGCATACAAAACCTCAGTACCATTAGTGATAAAAGGTTGGATAGAAGAAAACAGTGAGCACTGAAGGACAACAGGAGCTACTTGACTGGACAGAACCAGCAACAGCCATCCCAAGTTCTAATGAGCTAACTGGTTAATAGTGTTAAGGTGCTTGTGTAGACTGACTTCATGAAGTTGTTGGTGCATTTTAATGTTCTTAGGCCTGTTAAAATCATGAACTCTCAAACTCTTCTACAATTTCACTTTACTTTTCCTAAATCAATCCACTACGATGGTAGTAAAACTACAATAGTCGTATGACAATCAGTTTTCATAAAGCCCCTGAATGGCAATATTGTTACTGCTGAGAAAATCATAGTGACAGGCCACCAGGCCACACATTACCATCTCAAGTCTACTGTCCCTTGACTTCTTAATGGTTGCATAAACAAGGGTCCAAAGTTCAAGCACATGTACTGATAGCATGTTTGCTATGTGGGAAATATTGCAAATGGTTAATGTCATAAATGGGTTTTGCTGCCACCCGGAGGACATTTTTAGTAATGCTCCCTTCTTCAGAATACATAGGAACAGCTTATTATGTTAACTGTAACAGATACTGTCTATGGTCTTAGAATAGCCCTCTTATGAATATGCTGTCTGTCCCATATTATTGGTTCCAGAGTGCGCACCTTGCATTGATAGATGCCCTGATGGCCATGGCAGCCATGGAGACACTAGCAGCAGTGAAGCGGTGTGATACTGTGGAGTTGCAAAGCAGTTGGGAGGACACTGTACTTCAGTGGGTGAACAAGGTAAGGAGTGAAGCATACAGATTTGGAAGCCATTAAAGGATATTTTATTCACATTTTTGTTGTAATCTTAGTTAAATCAGAAACTCAGAGAACGCACAGACGATGACGAAAGTGACACATCTCAATCCTTCACAGAACCTCAACCTGTCCAGCCTTCTGTAAGTATATTATATAGTACAGCTCTCTCAACTCCAATTCTGATTCTTTTCTATCTGAGAAGAACAACCTAATGAGGACATATTGTCCTTTTGTATGGTATATAGTTTTTACAATTATAGAATTCTATATTATTATTGTATCTTATTTCAAGACAGTTATCCTGTAAGAAAGCACAGTGAGCCTCACATGAGTCTCTCATTTGGTTTGCCAGTTCTAATACTCAGTCTGTGCCCCCACAGGCCTGCAGCTGAGGCATGGCCTGTCCTTATATTGATATTGAGAAAAACTTGTTTTCAACCTGCAGATTCTCTAGCCAACCCAGGTTCTGCTGTGATGGTTCCTTTTCTATACAAGTAATAACCTTCTTTTATTACAGAAGGAGATGCAGATTTTTTTTTTTATATAGCAAATTCTAGAATCTAGTCACAATTTTAAAGGATCATGTTCAACAATTGTGAACTGATTCTTATTATATTAAGGCTGCGCTATCTGCTTTGTATATCCTTCTTTTGTCAACTCTTATCTCCTCTGGGCTCAGTTCCTATTCTGTTTGTCTGTGTGTTGTGTTCTGCTGTCCCTTCTGACTTCTCTCTCACAGTGTCCCACACGCTGGTACTGGAAACTTGTTCCTGTAAGTTCTCCTCTCCTTTTCCCTCTGCTCCTTGCCTTTACCCCTCCATTCCTCCAGTGCTACATCAAATATATCAACTATACCTGCTGGTCAGGTGTGTTCCCCATGCATTTGCTGGTGTGAGAACACAAGTGCATCTTATTATAGACTGTGTGTTAACCTGCACCCTTTAAGTAAACGTCCAGACTGGGACAAAACAAACTTGTGGCTCATGATGCATGAATACTGACAACATAAAACTGGTTTCTCAGTTTCTTGGTAAGATGTTGAATGCACTTAAAACAGCTGACAGCGTGGTTGTTTAAAACAGCATATATCACAAATGGTGATATCACTGTTTCTGCTTTTTTTCCCCCTTTTTTTTTTTTAATAAACCAAACACTTTGCCGTTTTTAGGCCTGTCATGATGATGAGTGATATACTGCTTCAAAATATTTTGTAATAAATCATAATATACACTTATAATCTTATAATATACTAGTTTTCTACAATTGCAAAGAAAAGTTATGCAATAAAAATTTAGCTCATAAAATATTGTTCAATCTATCACTTATTGAACAATATGATGTAATATGTTGCAATTATTGTGACAGGCCTTGTATTATTGTCCATTACACACTGCATGGATTTGATATGTCTTCTACAATGTCAAGATATAAAGGCATTTGATCAGTTTTAACTTTGACTCTGGTTTTAAGATAAATTAATTCAGTTTTCATATACTTATACTTATTTTGATATTTTGATGTATTTCTCTCAAGCTTCGCTACAGGAAAGATAAAGTCCAGTCCAGACAGAAGCCTGTGTTCCCAGTGGTTAATGACGTCAGAGACTTGTCCAGTGGCTGTGCCATTGTTGCTGTTATTCATTACTATTGTCCCGACCTGTTAAGACTTGAAGGTACAGACAGATTTTTACTTAAAAACATATTTCTGGGCACTTTAAACTAATTATTGTCTATGTGTCTCTATTAGATGTATGTATGAAAGAGTCTATGTCTGTAGCAGACAGTGTATACAACCTGCAGTTCATCCTAGAGTTTTGTGACAGTTGTCTGAAGAGCTGCTGCCACTTGACACTGGAGGACATGTTGTACATGCCCCAAGAACTACAGGTATTTTTGGTTATTGTTTTCTTTTTAACCTTGGTTTGAAATCGTTAATTGGAATAAAATGTATCTTTATTTTATTAAGGTAAATGTGCTAAGTTTCTTAGTAGAGCTGCTAAACTGGTTTGAAGTACAGAGACCTGACTTTGTTCAGCCAGTTGACACATCAGGTAAGAAAAACTGTGTGAGTCAAAGTTCAAACGATTCCAGTTTACTGAATGTCTTTGTGTGTGTTTTTAGATGGCACCCCAGTAAAGTCAAATAGCACTATCAGGTAAAAGGGTTTGTTTGTATTAAAAATACACGTTGCTCATTATAAATGTGATGAATGTTGACTAGCATTTTTATTTGCAGTACTTCCCCTTCTATTTTTAAGAAGCCCTTCCTTCCTATATCCACATCTGCGACAGGTAAGATTAACAATTTGATTTGTTTGGTTTGGTCTGGTTTGTGAACAGCTCATTCCTGGTTTTCCCTTTTGTTAGTGCTCTGCCTTCTTCTTAAATCATTCATTGTATTATATTCATTGTCTTTCACTGTATTCATTTAAATCCTGGTGTTGTCTGCATGCTTTTTCATTTTGCGTGTGTGTTCCCATGCACTCAGGATCTTTGTCTCAGTCTACCTCAATGTCTCATATAGAAGGAGTGGGAAAAACGTGGAGCAAGAAATCTCTCAGGTAAATTCCACATTTGTAAAATGACTATAGACTACCATTCAGTTTGTGTGTGAAGTGCTGACAATGATTCTGTGTTTTCACTCAGCCAACCACTGTCAGCAGTGTCCTTTAGCATTCCCTTTGGCCTGGACAGTGATGTAGACATTGTGATGGGAAATCCAGTAATAACACGCTCTGTGAGTTCAGACCAGCTAAATCCAGGAGTCCAGGCAAGAGTACCCTACACTCCTCCCGAAGACGTCAGCCATGTGGTCAACAAACCTGGGGGGCATAATGGACCTCAGAGGGCATCATGGGGCACCCAGTCTATACATATTCCTAAAGTGGCAGAGGAGAATGGCCTTGATGTCAGTGAAGCAGGTGAGCTGCCCACAATCGAGGAGGCTCTTCAAATCATCCACAACGAGAGCAAAATGGAGCAGCGACTCCACCCTGATGGTGCCCCGGATGGCTTCTACCTCCACTCCCCTGATGATCCTGCCAGCTCTCGATACACCAACAGCTTGTCCTCTGTCAGCTCTTCTGCTCCTTCACGCTCAGGAATGATGTTCAGGCCCACTGGGCCCAAAGATCCCAAACGCACGAGAAACGCCTCTGAATGTTCACGAGATGATGACTCTGTTTTAAGAGATGGTAGTGTTGACTCTGATGCCTCAGAGGACCTGCCTAAGACCCAGTCCACTCCAGCCACACCAGCCAACTCTGTTAGAAGCAAAGAAGCACCCGACAGTGGTGTTAAAATGACCAGCTTTGCAGAACGCAAGAAAAAACAGTTATTAGATTCTCCCAAGTCTAGTGAACCATCATCTCCTCAGATGACTTCATGGACACAAAAATCTGAAGAAAGTCCAAGCAAAAGCCCACAGCTAAATAATGAGATGTCGGAGCTCGGTGTTCGACTTGAGGAAAAACGCAAAGCCATTGAAGCTCAAAAGAAACGTATAGAGGCCATTTTTGCAAAGCACCGGCAAAGATTAGGTAAAAGTGCCTTTTTACAACTGAAGAAGGAGCAGGAAGATGATGGTACAGGTGAAGAAGAAAGTGGTCAAGTAACCGCTTCATCTACAGAGGATGATCTTTCACATATGGAGGACGGACTGAATAACATGGATGTTGATGATCCAGGTGTGCAGCTCCCATCAGCATCAGGACAAGTTAATGCACAAGGAGGACAAGCACTTAACAGACAAGTCCTTCTGTCCAAAGAAAAGCCAAGCACCCCTGAGAATTCTTTCGGACAATCTAATGAAAAAATGGCAGCTCCTCTTGGAGACTATAACAATGCTGTTTCCAAGCTGACGGCAGCACTAAGCTCTTTACAAAGTGATATGCAGCGACTGACTGAACAACAAAACCAATTTATGAAACCTGCCTCACCGAGTAACAAGTCATGGACAATACCTGCTAGCCCTAAAACCTCTACCCCAGCACCTCCCTCCTCTCGTCTCTCCAGAGAGTCTACTCGAGAGTTCAGTTCATCTCCCAGCGCTCCATCTCCATCACGTAGAATCATAAATCACAACACCCCCCCAAAATCTCCTAAAATGGTACAACGGAGAGCTCAGTCCGTGCCCCCCAAGAGTCCCAAACACAACCAATATAATCGCCAGCCGGATATAAAGGTCCCAACAATGTCACGAGTTCTTAATCCACCCCAGAATGTAGACCGCATCCCTCATCTTCGTCGGGTCAACCCTTCACAAACTCAGGTCCAGACTTCTTCCTCATTTTCCATTGGTGACGCAGAAAATCTTGATGATTTGCGCTCATTTGGTCCAACCCCTGTGGCCACACCAGCTCTGTCCCCATCATCCAGCCCAGCTCCACAACTCACGACAGAAGACGTCCTGTCCGAAGTGGGGTCCGCAGACGATCAGAGTATTTTTAGTATGGACTTTGAGGCAAGACCCTCCTCTTTGCCTAAAAAGGACAGGTTAACTGGTGGTGGCTGCAGCTCAGGAGCTCCTTCAGAGTGCTCCTTTGAGAGTGATGCACCTGCAACAGGACTGAATGGAAAACGTGGTAGCCTGATTGAGATCTCCCTTTCGGCTTTGAGAGGAGATGGAGAGGAGGAGGAAACAGGAGCTGATGGTTTATCTGATTCAGTAAGTGAGCGGGCCGAGTCTGAGCTCAGAGGAGGCGTGGGATTCTTTTTCAAGGTAAAAAAAAAAAAGAAAAAACATACCACAGAATATTGAAATGCCTGTTTTTAAAGTGGACCATTAATAAATAAACCATTGATTTTTTTTTTTTTGTTAGGATGATAAAGAGCGAACAGAAGATGAAATGGCTCAACGTAAAGCTGCACTTCTTGAAAAACAACAGAAAAGAGCTGAAGAGATGAAACGGCGCAAACTGGAGCAGGAAAAGGAAAAAGAGTCCAAGTAAGTTTGACTTGAATTTATATGTATTTCAGAATTGCTTAAACCTTTTAAATTACTCTCAAACATTTCAATATGTAGCTTCTCTGGTGGAAGGTCCGCTACCGGCTTGTCTCCATGGAGCTATTGCTTTACCTGGAATGTTTCACAGTATGATATTACACCCACCCATCTCCATAGAGACAAGCAGGTGAAGCTACCAGCTCAAGTTACTGGTTATATTTGTAGATCGACCCCTGCTCACAACAAAAATGCATGTTTTTAAAATGCATACTAACAGCAACACACATTTATTTTGAATACATGCAAGATAAAAATATATTTAATACCATACTGTAGAAAGCAATAATATCTCCATGGAGACAAACAGGTGACAGACTCTCCACTAGAAACATTACAAAGTACACCTTTTAAATTAATATTTTATTATTATCTTATTATTAGCAAGCCACAGTGGATGATCATTGAGGGTTGGGGAAACAAACCTGATGAGCAGCCCCAGACTCCTGGCACACCCACCACTCCACGCACCCCGCCGGCAGAGGGCACTCCACAGCGCAGAGGGGACTTCACCAGGCAGGAGTATGAGAGGCGACACCAGCTGAAGATCATGGAAGACCTGGGCAAAGTGCTCAAGCAGAAACCCACCACTGTCCGCGGAGTCAAGAAACAGAGACCCAAAACTGTCTTCAGGGATGACTCTGTGCTGTCAAACAGCCCTGCTAAAGGCTTGATGGGTAATTTTTTTGTTGCATTTTTTCTCACTACACCTCTTCATTACTATTACTTTATATGTCAGTGTTTCTTTCCTTTCATAGGCAACAAACTGAGCAAAGTATACTCTCACTCCAGCATGAACTTGTCTTCAATGGCGAATGACACAGGAGGGCTTTCTGTCAGAAAGTCTCCCAGGTAACTTAAGGATCTATAGACATTCCCCCTTTATTCAGCTGTATATAGTCTTTTTACGGAGCTGCAATGAATAGACATACACAGCATAACATGAAGGGTTGAAACATGAGCATGAACTTGACTTCCTGTCTGCTTCTTTCAGCCGCTCTCACTCTCCTGCACGTCACCGGTCACCGGGACGACGAGGGTCCCAGAATGACTGGGAAAATGGCTCCACTATTTCATCACCTGCTTCAATACCAGAATATACAGGTCAGTAATTTTCCATGCTTAGTAGCACCACTATCTGCAGATGTTCCCTTCAGCGGTCACCATAGCAACATCTTCAGCATCCTGATCTCACACAACATAAAATTTCATTGTTCTATATAGAATACTATATTCAGAATATTCATGTTTTTTTTATTTAAATTTGGGGAAATAATAATTAACTGTGTATTTTTATTTTTTACAGGACCAAAGCTGTACAAAGAACCAAGCTTTAAGTCCAACAAGTTTATAATCCATAATGCAATCACTCGCTGTTGCCTGGCTGGGAAGGTCAATGAACCACAGAAAAACAAGATTGTGGAGGTAATCTATGTCACTGTGCCAGAGTCCACCTAAGAGAGGCCTCTCTGAACTTTGAAATAATCAGTTTTGTCAAGTGCATTGACCTGTCTGTTGAATTTGTCTGTAGGAAATGGAAAAGAGCACAGCCAACCACTTCCTCATACTATTCAGAGACTCCAGCTGCCAGTTCAGAGCCATTTACACCATGAACCCAGAGACTGAGGAGATGGAGCGACTCACTGGCATAGGACCTCGAATCATTACTCCTGAAATGGTTGAGTCTATTTACAAATACAGCTCTGATCGCAAACAATTCACTGTCATACCGTCCAAAACTATGTCTATGAGTGTGGATGCCATCACCATACCCGGCCACTTTTGGCAAAAACGACCAGGGACTCCGAAGAAGCTTGGGACCCCAAAATGAAGCCTACTTAAGATAATCTGTCCTTATTCAGGACCATTCATCAAGTGTATGGCCAGTGTGGCACTTGTGGTACCTCCTTAAAGAAGCTGCTGACTGTGTAATTTTAAACGGCTTTCAGTGTGAGACTTATTTGGTAAGATGCAAAGAGACAAGGCCAAACACTATAGTTATAATAGTTGGACTTTTAAAAGCTTATGATTGGAGCCTCTGAAGGTCATTATTGATTGTAAAATGTAAAAAAAAAAAGAAAAGAAAAAAAAAAGATTTGCCTGAAAGAAGTTTTCCATTGTAATCATTACTCTGACTCATAGATGATACTAGAAGAGGTACCTGACTGCCTTTGCCCACAAATTTTGGGAATAGAAAGGTGATCTCTTGAGTTTTGCTGGCTCTCTTCTTGCTGCCTTTACCTCTTCCAGGGCTCATAGCTAATGTGTCTCAGCTGAAAAGACAGTGCTGTTTGTATGTGGGTTTGTGAATGTAAGGTCCACAGTGACCGCTCTGTTTGGTGAAGGGCCAGGAGCTGTATTAGGGCTGCACTATGCTGCTGCTCTCGTCAGTAGACATAACTGCCCATGCTTCAGCTTCAGCAAATTTTGCTTGACAATTCATAGTATGTTTGAAACTGAGTGAAGAATGGCATAAATGAATGAATGAATTCATCCTACATTGTGATTACAATGCTAAAATGTAATCCTAATCTTATTTTAAAACAAAACTAAAAGATGAAGGAATTGAATGCATTTTTCCTCACATTAATTTGTATGACCTTATAAGTTGATTTTTGTAAGCTACCAGTAAGCTATAGCTGCTTGAAGCATTGCAAGGTGTATGATTTAAGAATGAATGAGTAAGACTGGTTGTTAAATCTTTGAAAGCTTTTGTTTAGGGATCAATAAATCCTTGAGGTCACTTGTCTGGTCCCTATTTCTATTTTGTTGAAGCAAGCTCGAAGGATCCTTGTAAGCAGCCCCTCTTGTTTTCCAGACCCACTTAATGTAATTAATTCCTTCTCATTGGGCCAGTATGTCCACACAGTAATGAGCTCAACAGGATTCTGCAGAGGCTGGTGGTTAGTGCCATATCACTACATATTACCAGAAGGACACTGGGCCACTCCTTTCTTCAGTCTTAAGCACTACAGTAGCAGCTTTGGTGGCACTGCCTTTTCCTCAAATAGTGTAGATAATAATTACAAAGTAGCATTTATGAATGATGGTGAAATAATCTAAAAGAGTGAGTGGATAATTATTGTATGATTTTTTATTTTATTATTTATATATTTGTTCCCACACAGGTATTTATATTTATTTAGTCTTAGCCTTAGAAAGTGAATTTAATGTTAAGTTCTGATTCATTTCTGCTTTGGTTAAGGTTTTGTTATGTCATTCATTTCATGTCAGCCATTCATGTCATTGTTCCTTAGTTTTTGTTCTAAGATTGAGCTTTGCAATCATGTGTATTCATTTCATAAAGTGTCATTGATAACTGGAACAGAAAAATAAAATACTTTTTAATCATTTTGTTTCTTATCATGTCTTTATTTCTTATTTTTCCATCTCTTGTTTTATTTTTGTTACAGTGTGAAACAGGCACCTTTTAAAAATAATTCCATCTTGATGAAAACCTCATAAATGTGGGACCGCCTATATCATAGGCCGTGTATATGTTCTTTTATACAGTCTATGGTCTATATATTTCTTGTTTGGTTTTTACACTACTAGACCAGGCCTAATGCAATATTTAGCTCAACAAGTCTAACATTACATTTCCATATTTCCGACAGCAAAACAGTCTGGAATAATCAATAATTATCATCAATAATTATATGGGGATACTTTCAGCTGTGTTTAGTGTGCAGCATTTCCGTGAGCAGTGAGTTACAGGGCAGGTCTCCCAGCAGGTGGCGCTGGTACAAATACTCCTCCACTTGTAAACTGATGCTGCGCACTTCGGGTAGTCGGAGCAGCAGCTGCCCAAACTTATCGGAGTGTCCCGGATGTGACTGTTGGGTGTGCTCCATCAGCGCCCTGTTGATGCGCTCCTGCGTCTGCTCCACCTGTCTGCGGTTCACCACCGACTTCACATCTGGACACGGGGAAGGAAACACTAATGGACGGATTTTTGCAGAATGAAGGCTTTTAAGCCTTGGCTAATATCTTAATTTGTAGCCTAGCCTGTCCATGAGTTTTAACTTATAACAAGAGAATAAGTAAGATATTTTTAAATTGTAAAAATATGAGTGAAAAGTCCTCAAAATAGCGTTCATTACTAGAAATGTCATGTAACTGAATACGGTGCGTTTCACTTTTGAAATCGAATTAAAATGTACAATTTATAAAACCCTTATTTTCTAACATCTATGTCTTATTGTTATTATTTTTATTTTTACATGAACCTGCAGAACTTACCGGGGTTAAATAATACTAGGTACTTGAGGCAGACAAACTCTTTTCTGTCAAACTTGAGCTCTTTTAACTTGGTCACCAGGTCCTGCGCTCTGGACACGAGGCTGCTCAGTGTCACTCCAGCCTGTGAGATGATGGTAGAGACCTCAATCTGCGCTTCAATGACAGAAGATGATGGATGAGGAGAAGATTATTATTATTATTAAGTTCTTAAAGAAATGATTTACTACCTGCTGTCTTGTGACCAGATATATGCATCCCTCTTTCCCATAGGTCACCTGCCTGCAGAGATGGTCCAACACCAGGAGTTCACTCCAGCAGTTCTGCAGAAGCTGCATTTGGTCTTCTACCTAGGACAGGTACATCTGTTTTTTACCCACGTCTAACACATCGTTCAGGTTTATTCAGGCACAAATATTAATGTGCATAAATATTCACTGTAGCATTATTGTTTTCCTTTTTACCTTGAGTTCCTTGAAAAGTGCACTGTTTCTGGCCCACTCAACAAGCCCAAAAAGTGTCTGGTCAGCCATTTTGCACATGATGCTGAAAGTGTTGAGGCAGTCATGTTTGCCTCGGTTAGCTTGTTCTCGCTGCAGACTGGAAAGGACTTTTGCACATAACTGGTCTTCGTCTTGTTCTGACTCAAGAAGTGAATCTAAAAAGTTGGATGGAAGTGAGCTGGAGGAAGGGCCTTGGCTTGGGGGTGACGTGTGGTCCAAAATGGGGTCTGTGTTTACATTTGAAGAAGCCATTTGTGCATTTCTTGAGGTGTAAGATTGACTAGTCATTTTGTCCAGTGTGTGGCTGGTAGAAGCTGTATGGTAATCAAAAGACATATGAGATTTTTCCAGGGGGTATCCCGCTAAGGTTTGAGGAAGACGCTCTGTGTAGGGCAGTGATGGAGAAGTGATCCCTCTATCAGGATTCACACTACAATCCCAATGAGTAGATAATTCTGGATGAGAAATATCTGTGTGGTACATGTGACTATGTTGAAAAGTAGCAGAAGACAATGCAGTATTTAAGCTCCAATCAGCAGGATAAAGGTCATTTGGAGTCACAGATTGGTGTGGTATTGTACTTTCCACTTTAATCCGGTAGGGGGCAGCATTTGTCTGTTGATAAGACCTTTGCTGTTTTATCTGCCTGTCGCGACGATATAAAGGACCAAATCTGTTTCTTCCACCTCTCATACGGTCGGCTCGTACAGCTGTCAACACAGAGGAAGACTACTTATATGATAGGCCACAACACAATGGTTTTACATGTCAGTGAAGTAAGACAGATTGCTTGAGATTGTGTAGTGGAGAGTGGTACCTTCTTTCTTCATGCCCACAGCTAAACATTTCTGGAAGCGACAGTAAGGACAGCGCTTTCTTTGAGTGAGGTTCATGGGGCAGTTCTGTTGTTCTGTACAGGTGTAATGTTTGTTGTTTTGCACTGACCGCTTAAAAAAGCCCTGCAGAGAAAGAAAGGGTGAGAAAAATCAAAAATTGCAACTACTTTGTCCGTGCCAGAAGAGGATGTATTGTACTTTGGTATACTTGAGGTTACCTTGCAGCTCTCACAGGTGAGCAGGCCATAGTGGTATCCAGACACTTTGTCTCCACAAACTGGACAGCTCTCCTGTGATTCAGGTCTGGTGTCATTCTCTGTGTTTAACTCTGGGGCTGTACACGGAAACATTTTTTTTTTTAAATAAGCATGTTTTAAATGCATAGGTACAATTTAGTTTGTATTACTGATCAATTCCCTGGAGTCTCTGTCTCATTCTCTTATCACAATGTGATGTAAGGGTAGATATGATTCTTACATAATTTTTGCAATGATAGCTCTGATCTTTAAGTAAGTAAATATGAAAACAGAAAATTCACCAAAAGTTTACAGTGACTGACTCCTAAGATCACATTCACTTGTTAAATGTCACACCATGTCTTTTGTCCTGTACTCACATGTGGGTGCTGCCTCTGCCTGTACGCCCTCCTTCATGTGGGCCACAGACGGTCCTGCCCAGGGGGCACTGTGCAGTGAGGGGAAACACGGTGGGTCCATTCTGGCTGGAGCTCCACAGTCACTCAGGCCTGGTCCTCATTGTGGAGACTGGAGACCAGACACTGTGCCGAGGCCAGCCGGAAGGCCAAAGGACCCAGCTGAGCCCATGCTTATTGTGTGAGACACAAGAGTGGACTTCGCTCCATTCTGGGGCTCATAAACCTCTCCTGACTGGCACTCCTCTGTCCTCCAGTGGGACAGCCTATTGCCCAGTGTCTAGAGGCAGAACGAAAACTATCATGGAAGCATCTTGGTGCACAGCTGATAAGATAAGAGTCTACAGAAAGAAAAGAAACTTCTCCATTGTAATAAATAAATATGTGTTTAATGCTTAACTGTTTATCAAACATAATAATATCAAACATAGTTATTGTTATGTAAATGTAAAATACAGGGTTATAAAACAAGTTGTATGTGTTATGATTATTTGGAGGATTGGCGTTGAATAGAGTATAGACCAGAGAAAGCCTTGGCTAGGGCAGGTCCACTCTTCAAGGTCATATGACACAGATGAAACAAAGAAACATTATTAACAATTCCATTTTAATGATCACTGGAAAAGCACTGTGGCTAAACTGCATTCCTGAACTTTGTATGATTTTCACAGGTAGACAGTTATAATGTACTGTAGATACTGTTGATATTTTTTCTATTTTAAATTTGAATGTGTGGTTTCCAGTGTTGGGAGTAACGCGTTATAAAAGTAACGAATTACAGTAATGCATTACTTTTTGCTGTAACGCAGTAATGTAAGGCATTACAGGGGGAAAAATAGTAATATTTTACTCGGTACAAATGTGAGTAACGCGCGTTACAGTGTTTTTTTTTTAACCTGGATTGAAGTGGTGGGTTTTTCTTCATACAAATTCGCTAAAATCACCTCGATATCAGCAGCGGTGAAACGCCGGAGATGCGCCCTCATAGACCTTCAGGTAACCGCGGGCGAAAGGACTGACAAAGAACTCCACGCTGTTTAGACCTGGTTTAGACCTGGGTCAGTTCTGGTTTAGACCTGGTTTACACTCGTCCCTCCCTCTATCGCAGTTCACTTTTCGCTGTCTCGCAGATTTTTATTTTTTTTATTTTTATTTTTGTGCAATTTTGCATGCCCTGTTTTTTTTTTACATTGTATGAATGCGTATTGCGTTTCTCCCGCTGCGTCCTGACTGGCCAAGGGACTCCTGTCTCCTGTACAGAACAGTACAGAATGTGTTCAGCTGCCAAATTTAAATACATGTTCAGTCTGTAGCAGTGTGATTCTGAAGTGCTGTACGGTTGCAAGTTTTCTCCCCGACGAAACCCACAACGTCGACGAAACGTTCTGCACTGACAAAGGCTCCTGCACTCGCACCCAAAAGACAGAGGAAGATGCAAACCATCACACAAAAAGTTGGACTTCTGGACACGCTGAAGGAAGGTAGAAGTTACGCGCTGTAACAGACTCTTGCACCGCCCTGCAAATAGTTGCTGAAATCAGGGCCACGAGCCCGAGCAGCAGGGGGACAGCCGCTCTTACCTCCATGAGGTGTGGAGCAGAGCCGCTCCTTTCTCCTGCGGTCACCTTCGAGCCCTTCCCTACAGTGAGTCCTGTTTTAGTCCTAGTTCACTTCTGGTTTAGTCCTGGTTCAGCTCTGGTTTAGTCCTGGTTTAGACCTGGTTTAGTCCTGGTTCAGTCCATATACAGCGCAGAAGTTATTTTGGTGAGAGTAACTTGAAGTAATGCAATAGTAGTGTAATGCCTTACATTTTAAATGCAGTAATATTGTAATGTAACGAATTACTTTGAAATGACAGTAATAGGTAATAAATAACGCATTACAGTTTCAAAGTAACTTGCCCAACAGTGGTGGTTTCAACACATCTTGAAGGTGCGACAGTAGCTCAGTTGGTAAGAGTTGATGTATGAATGTGTGTGTGAATGGGTGAGTGGTTCCTTTATGTAAAGTATAAAAAAAGTGACCACTTTTGTTTGGGGTCCATCACATGCTTTTTTCTGTGGATATGTCATTGCTCTGCCTGGAATGTTCCATAATATGACATTAAACAATGCTACCTTACATTAATTCAATTACAGGTGGGTTTATAGCACAAAAATATCCTGACTGTGAGCAGGGATGTGTTGCTACAGATCTGACCTGAAATTTGGTCTGGTTTGGTCTCCATGAAGATGCCACATACTGTGGAATAGTACAGACAAAACAATGACATCTCCATGGAGAAAAAGCATTTGACAGACCCTCCACCAGAAAAGTTACACCTTTTACACATCTTGTCATGGCTGCTGCCCTCCTCCCTCCTTTACCATCTAGTTGCTTATATGAACTTTCAGGTCCTGAGAGGGAGACTATGGAGGTTTACATCAAGGATTCTTTAGCTGCTGGCCTAATTCGTCCCTCTTCATCACCTGTTGGCGCAGGATTTTTCTTCGTGGGGAAGAAGGACAAGACGTTAAGGCCTTGTATTGACTATAGAGGGTTAAATGACATAACTGTTAAAAATAAGTACCCCCTACCACTCATTGACTCAGCCTTTGAACCCCTTCATCAAGCCAACATTGAACCCCTTCATCAAGCCAACATTTTTACTAAGCTGAATTTAAGAAATGCTTATCATTAGACAAGGTGAAGAGTGGAAGACCGCATTTAACACCCCACTCGGACATTTTGAGTACTTGGTGATGCCATTTGGTCTTACAAATGCACCAGCAGTTTTCCAAGCTCTTGTCAACGATGTTCTTCAGGATATGCTGAATAAATTTGTTTTTGTCTATTTGGATGACATTCTCATCTTTTCCAGGGATCTTAAAGAACATGTCCAGCATGTCAGACTTGTCCTGCAGCGCCTCCTAGAGAACAAGCTCTTTGTGAAAGCGGAGAAGTGTGAGTTTCATGCAACATCTGTTAACTTTCTGGGCTTTGTCATTCAACAGGGGCAGATCAAGGCAGATCCTGAAAAGGTGAAAGCCCAGACCAGAAACCAGAAGACAACTTCAGCATTTTCTAGGGTTTGCAAACTTTTATAGGAGATTTATCAAGGACTACAGCAGAAAGGCAGCCCCACTGACTCGTCTTACCTCTACCCTCACCCCCTTTAAGTGGTCCAGTGAGGCGGAAGATGCTTTTGCTACTCTTAAATCTCTGTTCACCTCTGCTCCTGTTCTAATCCCGATCCCTCCAGGCAATTTATCGTAGAGGTTGATGCGTCACACTCCGGGGTGGGAGCCATCCTTTCCCACCGTTCCACTACAGAGCAAAAGATTCATCCTTGTGCCTTCTTCTCTCACAGTCTGTCACCTGCTGAGGTTAATTATGACATTGGTAATAGAGAACTTTTGGCTGTGGTTTTGGCCTTGCAGGAGTGGAGGCACTGGCTGGAGGGTGCGGAACATCCCTTCATTGTTTGGACCGACCACAAAAACCTGTCATATCTCCGTTCTGCCAAGAGGCTCAACTCCCGACAGGCTAGATGGGCTCTGTTCCTGGGAAGGTTCAACTTTGTCCTAACCTACAGCCCTGGTTCTCAGAATATAAAGCCAGACTCCTTATCTCGTCAGTTCTCTCCTGATGTCTCTGAGTCTCTGTCTGAGCCCATCCTGCCTGCTATGTGTGTGATTGACAATCCAGATAATTCACCTGAGGTTGCTCCATCTACTTCCCTGGTTGCATCTATTCATTGGGAAATTGAAACAGTGGTCCGTGAGGCTCAACAAAACCAACCTGCCCCAGGTAACTGTCCGCCTAACTCACTTTTTGTGCCGGAATCGGTGTGAGCTCAGGTTCTCCAGTGGGGGCATAGTTCTAAACTTATGTGTCACCCTGGTTTCCACCGGACCTTAGCTTTTCTTAAACAGAAATTATGGTGGCCATCTATGAGCAAGGACACTCGATCTTTTATTGCCGCTTGTACTACCTGTGCCCGAAGCAAGTCAAATCATCAAGCTCCCTCTGGTCTCCTCAACCCCTTACCTGAACCTCTTGGCTCCTCGATTCTACGTTTTTGCTACTTGCCTTTTGCCGAAACATTTTACTTACCTGCGTTCTCTGCCCTTCAGTGATCCCTGCCGTCTCCAGCCCTGCTCCAGCCCTGCTCCAGTCCTGCTTCTGCCCTGCCTCTGCCCTGCCTCTGCCCTGCTCCAAGCCCTGCTCCTGCCCTGCTCAAAGCCCTGCTTCAGCCCTCATTCTGCTCTTTGTAAAATAAATTCTCCTTTTTTCATTTTGTGAACTGGTCTGAAGTCCATCTTTTGGGTACCTCCATTGTTGCGCCATAACACATCTTTTTGTATAAATAATAATGCATGTTAAAGACATACACCGTGTAACACAGTGTAACTGCCAGACATTGGTCACCTTCAACTTCACTTTTAATTAATCTGTAAAATCAGTAGTGCTTTTGTCAAGGATAAATAGAAGGGGCTTCTTTTCTAGAGACAAATGTTGTTTACTTGGTGGGTCAGTATTGTATTCAATTTCAGTTGTTTTGGAACGGGTCTTTTACAATGCAGTTAACTTTATTATTTCTTTCATTTAGTTTATTTCTCAAAATCAGACACCTCACAGATTGTTTAGCTGTTTAAGTCTTTATTCAAGTTATCAGTCATACATAGTGTATCATGGATCCATATAAAGAATGGGTTTTGTGTTTAAAAACAATGATTATAATAATTACAGTGTGTACTGTTATCCATTCTTTTCAAAACAAGTAACAACAATGAATTTTTTTTTTTTTTTTTTCAAATTGTACCGATACCTGAAGATTTCTTGGGGTATTTCCCTCATTATCGAAGACAGCTTGACGATCTTCTCTTGCTTTAGCACTGTGGCTCACCATCCACTACAACCCACACTTCTGAATATGGTTTGAAGTATTGGACTGCAGGAGACATTAAGTGCACACGAGTAATTAGGTTGACTCACTTGAGTGATTTAGACAATAATATTATGTAAAGTTATAGTCTCTGATGCTTACTTGGCAGTAGAAAACTCATTCGTGCTTGGTGAACATCCTAGAAAATATCTTCTCTTGTGGAAGACCTTCAGGAATTTTGACAGTGACAGGAGCTGTCTCCATCTCTATGTCATTATCTGGTTGACAAATGAATACACAGAAAAACAGCCATGCATTAAATTAGGGCTCAGTTACTAACAGTTGTATTGGCCTAATTACCATCTACCTATTTTTTCAGATCCCAAAATGCAGATAATTCTCCACTCCACCAAAAGGCTGCTGTAGAGTAGGAAATGGAGACCACATTACGAGGGTCATAGCAGTGAATCTGACAAAATTATGAAGGATTATTTTTTATTATTATTATTATTATTTATTTATTTTATTTTTTTACTATAAAGTTGCCACTATATGTTCAGGAGTTCAGGAGTAGTGTTGACATGTGACTGGACTAAAACAGGTTGATTTAGCTAGAAATAAGTTTGGCATGCTGTCTCAACCAACGAAAAGTCAACAAATGTGATAAGATAGATCCTAAAACAGAATACTTAATCAGTATTTTCAGTTTATTTTTAAATGTTCTTTAAAAATGTAAAGATGTTAAATAAATGCTCACATTACGATTGCTTGAACTCCTCTCCTTCTGATTTCATTAGTGTTTTCCAAACAAAACAATAGAGCTCAAATAAAAAAAGGAAAAGACTAAACTATATTTGTAAGGATGCAACGGGCATATAATTAGTCCCAGGTGAATTAAACTATATAACTGGATTTTTATCTTCTTTAGAAAAGCACATTCTGCTTCTTTTAAAAGTTGTTTTAAATTAAAATAAGACTCAATTACAATTCATTGTTTTAACCTGTCACATGTAGGTTTGTTTTAATATTCTATAGAATTAAACCATAAAACATATCAATCAATCAATCAAATTTATTTATAGAGCACTTTTCATACGGAAATGCGACACAAAGCACATACAGTCAGATGTGCACCCCTTCAAACTTTTTTTTTAAATTTTGCATTTGTTTTTGAGCTTAGCACGAATCACACTGGTTGTTTCCCAAATGGATAAAGAAACTAGTTCAAGTTGAATATTATACACCAGAATGTTCCAGGGACCTCATTATAAAATATGAGAGATTATAATGGTGTGTAACAGGAGTGTCCTGGCAACTGTTCCCCCAGCTTTACGTATGGCTGCTTGTTAATGGAAAAATTCACATCAAATGATGATTATTAAAGCTTATTTGCACTGTGAGAAGGTGGTGCATCCTTCAGTTTAAAATAAATGGATGAAACTGAGACCAACTCATGTTGTTAATATAATCTAATGCTTTGTACCAGAAGGCAGTTTTTGAATTCATAGGATCACACAAAACTAACCACAACTTTGGTCTTTTATACATATTTTCTACATATATATATTATACACATATGTGACAGGAGATGCTACAACATTGCTGCAACATTCCTTTCATGCATAATATTTGTGAAGTGTTTCATCAGCTTCAGCACCAAGACCTAGGGGTCAAACTAAACTGACTTGTTTGTCGCCCCCCTGTGCATACTGGACATATTTACAATAGCATAGTATTTATTTATCTGTTCTGCTGAACTAAAAAAACCTATTATTTACAGACACCAAGAGAATCTAAATATATATGAATAGCTATTTGCTGGAAATGGGTTTATAAAATATATGGAAATTATTTAAAGTTAAAGTTTAATTGTCCCAAACTCACCAGTCTAACCATCCCCAAAGTCAGTCAGAGCCCTGTGACTACTGTGTCATCTGCAAGTTTGACTCTTATGGATATGTGGTGAGCAGTGTAGTCCTGTGTATGCCAAAGGGGCTCACCCATAGGGTGGGGAGATGTTGAAGATGTTGAAGGTTTGGTACCTAGTGATCAAGAAATCTTGGACCCAGTTACAAATAGTCATTATAGTTAATAATGTAATGTGCAAAAGATGCGATTTATTTGTATTATTTGTATTCTTATTATGCGTTGAATTCACTACACTACTTTTTGTGTACTTCTTGTGCTGCTTGGTCTTGACCAGGTCATCACTGTAAATGAGAATTGGTTCTCTATCGACCTACTTTTTTTTTTTTTTTTAGTAAATATGTAAATAAAATAGGTTTAATAATCTTTTAAATCATCACTCACATCTAAAGTACAGTATAGATTCATGGTGTTTGGACAGTGTTGAGATGTATCAACCTTTATTTGTCAAAATATCGCTGTCTAGAATTGATAATGCCCACCCACTGCTCAGCTGTGAGTGGTTGGATGTTTTTGATACAATGCAGGTTATTTTTAATTAAATTTTGTTCATCAATCAATCACTCAATCAATCAGACAGTTTAGAGGTAATTCACAAACACAGCCTTTATTGCAGTTATTCTAGGTGCATAGTCATAGGCATCTCAGTGTCAGCTATACATATGATAAATTTTGTATAAAAAAGCAGCGTCATTTTAGACAAGGATCAAACAGCACCACATGTTTGTGATATTCTAATTACAGCTAATGCAATGAATTAAATGTTTCTTTACAAATATCTAGTTATATATTCATTGATCAGGTATATTAAAGTGTATTGTGAGGTATATCTTCTCTTTGCTTGAGTATATTGTATCTTCACCTTCTTCAGCATTGAGGCACACCATCAACCACAACCCACACTTCTGAATATGGATTGGGATTCATTGGACTGTAGAGAAATGATGCACACATGAGTAGGGCCATTGACACTTTACTAACTCATAGAAAATCATATTATTTAAAATGATATGTGTCTCACCTGTTGTAGCCAACGGCATAGTGGGGCTTTTCATAGCTGGTTATATTGATACTATTGAATAGGACTTGAGCTTCAGCAGCATCAGCTTTCACCCAGTCATTGTAGGGCCTGACGTACAAGTATCTCTCTCCAGTCTCCACAATCTTCACCTGCAGCATGTTTGATGAGTTTTGGATTTGCTCAATTATTATTATTATTATTATTATTATTATTATTATTATTATTATTATTGTATTGAACTTGCTACTGTGACCAAGACTAGGGATGATTTGACATAGATTTTGTTTTGTTTTGTTTTTGTTTTTGGCCATTATTTTTGTGATCCTAATATTAAGATTTTAAAGTCCATTTGCAAGGCCCACAAATTTATGTTAGGAAAAATAACAACATATATTTATCTAGGATATAAAATCATTTGTTCCATGATTGTGGATAAAAAAAACTTGGACAAACTTGGAATAACTCATGCTTTCATAGAGATTTGGCCATCTTAGAAAAAAATATCTGCTACATTTCAATTTTGGACCGGTGCAGATATTATATGGGAAAACGCTCTGAACCAATAAATCAACCATCCCTAGTAATTTCCACAAAGGAAAAAACAATAAATTAGTAAATGTATGATTCTCTTATTACCTTGGAGTTGGTGGGCTGCGGAGGGTTGCTCTGATTCTCCATTGGGAGCAGAAAGCAGATTGTGTACTCGCGTATTTTGGGAAGCAACTTTGAAAGGTTCTTGAGTTTATCTAACCAAGAAGACTGTGAGTTCTGTGTCTGTGGAGGATCGTCTGGTGGCATTTCAATAAAGGCAGGAGCTGTCTTCATGGGAATTTGATTTTCTGAGTGACAATTAAATACACAAATCAAATGTTATCTTAACTATAAGAATAGACATACTTCTAATATAAAGAATGGAAAACTCACAGTGTAATTTACTGGGGTACTTACCATCTAGGTAATTTTTCATACGCCAAAATGCAGGCCCTACTCCAAGCATCCAAGTGGGGGCACTGAATGAAGTGCACACCCATTTCACAGGACCATAGCGACGGACCTAACAGAAGGCAGTAAGGATGTCAGAAATATATTTTTCAAGATGTCACCACATGAAGATGTAACATAATTGTTATAATTTTAGAAGTAACAATATTATATTTAATATTATAAATGTAGTCTTACACACTCAAAAACATTTACTTTTAAATCTTATAGCATTAACAACATTTCTGAAATCTAAAAGTTCATAATAGATGCTAGTCTTTTCAGTAATAGAAACTAAATTGTGGATTTCACTACATCGTCAATAATTGAAAATTGTAAACAGGCAAAGTTTCTCATAAATGTGGTAATAAAAAGATTGTGTGAACATAAAGAACATTGTGTGACATCCTAGATTGCCTAATCTCAGTTATGTGATTGTTTAGAAATAGGCTTGCAAAAATGTATTCTTTATTTAGACCACAGTGCAGCCAAGAAAGAGAAAAAGAAACAAACTATCTGACAAAGGCTATTTGCCAAAGGCCGCTCTATAGTTAAAAAAAAACAAAAAAAAATTTATGGCCACCTGCCACATGACTAGTCAACTAAACAAAGTTGAAAAACACAGACTAGTTGACTTCTAAAATATTTTTTTTGCTGCAGCCCTAGTCATTAAGACATGCCAGAGGATGTGGCCGGCTCACCTCAAAGTTTTGGCTTTTACAAATACGCTCGAACAGGAGACATTGTGGTGTCTCATTACAGACGGATCCCTCTGAGCTCCTGTGGATTAAACCATGAAAAATCTGTTATTTGTTATTTATTTTTACGTTTTTACATTATAATTTGTAGATTTTGTCTGAAGGTGGAACATCAATACAGCAAGCACGTACCCCACACCAGCTTCAGCTGTCAGAACCAACAAAAAGCCAACAAGTGTGGTAAGGCAGATCCTAAAACAGAATCATTCATCATTCAATCATTCAATTATTTTGAGGCAGTTTCTATTTAGACTTAATTTAAAAAAAGCTAAAGTGTTAAATACTCACATTATGAACGTTGTTCGGACTCCTCTCTTTCTTCTGATTTGGTGTCCTAGCACCTCTTTATTTAAACCTGTCAACTGCCACACCCTGAATGTGTTACTCAACCAAAACAATAGAGCTTATCTAAGCACATGAACAAAAGAAAAGATTAGGTATCCATATTTGTAAGGACAGGATGGTTATACAGTTATTCCCAAGTGAATGGAATAATTATTTGTATACATTTTGTTAAAGATGGCATGTCATTAAATATACTAAAGTAAATTTAGAATTTTATTGTTTCTACCCAGATGCCCCTCCTGTATATATATTTTTGTTCTTATATTTTCTGTAGACTTAAACAACAAAAGCAGAAATGCTTTGTGGAGGGTCAGGTTAACACACAGTGGGCAGCAATCCTAGTTCTCATGGAACATTATACGTGCTACAAAATGTTCCAGAGGACTACACTTGTGAGCCTATACAAAACTGATAATAATATAGTTTTGTCTTTCACAGCTCTCTCTGATGGGACTGAGGATCCTGTCTACTGTTACACTGTGTTTGGTGGATAAGAATTGATTTCCTATAAGCCTCCTGTAAGTCTCACATTTAAGTTTAAGCTCTTGATCTGTTCAGTTTCACTCCCACATTCCACAAAACCCAGGCCCATCTGTGTTATAAAGTAATATGTAATATCACTAAGAATTCAAACAGGGCAAAGTATTAGGGTTTAGGTAGGATCTGGCATCAAATAAATGAAACCTCTGGGAGGATGATCTGGGGTCTTATTTCTAGTGGTGGAATGTAACAAAGTAAAAGCAGTGAAGTATTGTACTTATGTAAAATGCTTAGGTAACTGTACTTTACCGAAAGCATGAGGGGTATATTTTTAACATGTTTGTAGTTTGAGCAAACAAAAATATGCAAACATAGAAAACAAACAAAAAATGTAACTGAAAAATCAATTCAATTGAACAAAATTCAACACAAATTTGTATCAAAATCAGTGCATCAAAGCTTTATTAGATCTCAGTATCTATGTGAAATACTTTTACTTTCTACTCTTTAAGTACATTTTTAAATGGGAACTTAAATACTTTAGTAGATTTTTTCATGTGATACTTTACTTTACTGTTTTGCTTCTGTATCTGTACTTTTAGGTAAGTAGCTGGTAACTGAGTACTTCTTCCACCACTGCTCATTTCAAAGGAGTACATATGTACAAAAATGTTACATAAAAGGCTTTCTGTGTAAAGACTATAAAAAGCCAAAGGCAAACTTTGTAACTCTTCTCTTTTCAGAAATAAGGCACGTGAAGTTGATTTGTGTGTAAGAATTCCCTCCAGTCCAGTAGCTTTTTTTGTTTTTAGGTTATGGCATTACCAATTTTAACATAAACACATATAGCCTATCACCATTTATCTATTTATTAATATTTCACAGAAACACACAAGACAACAGATAACATTTCATAAAATGCATTATATAATTTCGTTACATAGTGACTTTTAAACTTATTGAGATAGAAAAGGAAAGATGGTTGTTACTGCTATTTCAGCACTGATTCAGCTTTTTATTCAACACACTCAAATCACAAATGTATCATAATTAATGGTATAACTAGCTTTATAATAGGTTAACAGAAATTAACACGCTCTTTAACTAAATTGGAATATTTGTCTCTGTCGCCCCCATGTGGAAATAGTCTGAAAAAATATAATTATTTTATATAATTATATATATATTTATTATGTGTACAATTGACCATGGTGTGCTAATGTATACTGTATTTAGTTTATAAGGACACGTGTACTTGTACAAACAAAATTATTTGCTAGTGTCAACAAATTTACAAATTATATGAAAAAAATGCATAGAAGCAATGCATCAAGTGACATCAAACCAAAATGTGATTATTTCAGTCCTGTCCTGTTTTTTTTTTTCTTATAGTTATTGTGATTTTTAGCCAAACATGATGAATTATTTAATTATTTGTGGAACAAAACCATTCTTCTATGGAGTACTGTAACACTTTATTGTAATTGTGTTTTTGTATCAATTGTGTATAATGTGGATGAATGAGATGTGAAATCTGGGTACCTATGGGTATGAATAAAGCAGCTTAACCTAACCTAACTTGGCCTAATTTTCATTGCAATGGCTTTCAGTGAATATTCATACCCTTTCCAAGAGGACCAGTTGATTCCTTGGCCATAGGCAGAGCTGCCCCAGAGGTACATTCCATTAAGATTGGAATTGTGGCACTTTCCATACCACCATCCTCCTAAGTAGGCCTGAGCACAGTTTCCATTATAAGCATCTTGATCCTTGTCAAATGTGGAAAAAGGGAAGTTGATATGACCAGTCAGAGAATCTCCTGAAAAGATAAGAGGTTATCTCAGAGATAAGCTTAACTGTTGACTGTGTTTCTGTTCCAAACTCACCAGCTCCACCGTCCACAAATCCACTCAGATTGAGCTTGTAGCCCTCCTGCTCTGAACCTATCGAGAAGGACTGGTAGTGAGCGAAGACTTTGGCTCCTGTAAAGTCCTCCATGTCCACTCTCAGTTCAAAGTTCTTCCGCGTGATGAGAGTGTGAATGGTCTCTAGACCTTCAGATGGACATTTAAAGCAAATTTCTTAGGTAAAAAGGTTCAGATACAATTGTCTACTGGAATAATTTTTCCTGTAATAATTTTTAAAATGTTTATTTTCTATAACTGTTGTTTTTCTATAGTTGTTGAATTTGAAATGGTAGAATTTTATCATTTTAATCATTTTTAATACAGAATTTATATATTCATTATTTTAGGCTTCATGTAGGCTTAGAAGTTTGCATAAAAGTTTTACCTAACCAGTATTCTCCAGATGCCTGTCCAAAACCAGTGTTATATTGGTCCCAGCCTCTGTAAAAGTTAACTGTGCCGTCTTTTCTTCTCTGAATGACCTGAAAAATATTAGAGATTTAGAGATTATAGATAAATTATAGCGCCCACACTGCTACTCCTGGTTTCATTCAGATACTAAATTCCTGATTTTGTAATTTCCTGAATTTTTAAGCTAATTCTTTAAACATATAGTTGAGAATCTTGTTTTTAAGTAACTCATCACAAAAAGTCATGTTACTGTAACTGAGTAGATTTTGGGAGCAGTTATACTTTTTAAATAGATTTGTAAAGTCTAAAATTGTCCCATTTGACAATTGTCAACATGCACAACAAACCAGTCCCATGCCATTGGTCAGAGAATATGTGGACTGTGATTTAATTTCATCTTTATATAATGAATAAGTGGCCCATATTATTACCTTTACTTGAAGAGATAATTGAAGAGGTAAGTTCTCCGCAACTGTTTTTAAATTTCAGCATGAAACTGTGAACACAACTGTTTACTGATTGACAGGATAAACATAGGAAATACTTACTGTCCATTTTTTGCCTTCATTCCCCTCATCCATGTCACAGTAGACTTGTATAGGGGATAGCGGCCCTGCTGGGTAGATGTTGTACACTCCGTTGTGTCCATAGCCTTTTTCATACACCTCACTGCAGTCAACAGGGTTAGAAGTTGGGGTGCAGGTAGCTACTGGGATCAACAGCAACAAGGCTAGAAAATGCTACCAGTTCCAAGGAAAAGAAAGAGCTGCAGTTATTTAATCTTAGAGTGAAAATTTGCTAATACTTTTATCTTACCATGTTTGTCCTCTGTGTGATTTGGTTACTAATGATACGTGGAAAATAGAGGAACTGGACCTTGTACTATTGAGCAAAATAAGCAAAAATAACCTATTAATGATTACCACCACCATGTGTGTGAATTAGATACGTAGAAATGAATTAGACAACAATATCACATTCATAAGTCAAGGGCATGTCCTGTTTACAAACTGTATTTTCTTTACTCTGCTTAACATTTTTTACTGTATGTTTTGTAATAAACTCAACTAAAATGAAACTTAAACTGTTAGGTGTGTGAAACCAACCATTTGTGACATAAAAATTTTATACAAGCCACACTTTTTATAGCCTTAGCATGGATTCACACTTAATTAACCCTAAATACTAACCCTTTAATAAAACAGTTGAGTAGCCTGAATCATTCTTGATAAACTATTTTTACATTAAGATTTTGTTTATGCTTTATTAAGGCTAATTATGGAGAAGCTATTATAAAGTGGTACTGGTATTACAGACTTACATTTGATTTAGACAAATTAAAAAAAATCCACTGGCTGCTCCATACTATGGAACTAAAATATTAAATATCGCAAGAACATAGAAATACAGGGCCCCATTAACTTTCTAATTTTTATGTACCTTACTAATACTACCTGTAGTGATTGTAATAACATGACAAATATACAAGGTTAAATAAATCATCACAGTGTCAAATAATGCTAAAAGAAGTACATTTTATTTTTGTTCTTATTAGTACATAATCATTTTAGAGGCATAAGACTTCTTAAGCAAAGAACTACCCAGAAAAATCATATTTACAACAGAAATGGGTTGTTGAAATGTACAAAAAACATAAACAAAAACAAACCACTCAGAGTGCACAGTCTGCAATGAAATGTGAACAACAACAACATACAGTGTGGTTCCCAGGTCGGACAGTCTAGTGCAGGGTGAAATAAAACTATGACACTTACAGGTTGTGATAGCAGGTTGCCACATCAGTAATGTTCTTCTATATATTTAGAAATCTATCAAGAAAAACTACTCTCAGGTTTTGGTAGTGGGGAAACAAGTGCTCTCCCAAACTTATGTTAAAGCCAAAGGATGCAGCACTACATAGCAGTGTTGTGTCCTTCACTAACTTGAAAGTTCAGGAGCAGACTTTATGGCCCTGGACTGCTGCTGTAGATGCAGAGAGCACCCCTGCATGCCATAAAAGACCTCCCTGAGGAGTGACCGGGCACAAGCAGACAGAGACCAGCAGCCATCGCCCCACTGCCATCCACCCAAGACCACCTCAGCAACAGGAACCTAGGAATGTTAGTTTTAGTCCATAGAGGGACATTACATGGGCCTAAAATGATGTCGCTGCCATTTGACAGACTCAGCCTTTAGGCAGGAAAATTATATAAAATAGCAGCTGTATAAGTTTAGCTTAGTACAGACATGTCAAACTCAGGCCTGGGGGCCAAATTTTATCCACGATATAATTATATTTGGCCCGCGAGATCATATCAGATATGTATTAGAGCTGGCCCGCCGGCTACAGATCGGCTATAGAGACATTATTTATTTAAAATTTGGTTATTATTTTATATTATGCTTGTTCTGGATTCAGTGTTTAAGCAAAACTATTATTAAACATTTATTTTTAATAAGAAAAGGTTTAACATTATATATCTCAAAGAAGAGAAAACATGCAGATATTGTTGAAATTTTTCAATAAATATTTAGTTTGGCCCACGACTTAGTCCAAGTTTTTAAATTTTGGCCCCCTGTGAATTTGAGTTTGACACACCTGGCTTAGTACATCTGAGTATGTTATAATGTATCCACAGATTTCACAAATATACAAGTATAAAAAATGAAAACAAAAACCAAAAAGGCAGTGACAAGCTGACTCTGTAAGCAGACCAATGCTGAATAACCACATGCTTAATGATGTCTGGACTGGCTGTAGACTATGTTACAAAGCCCTCAGTGAGATGCTACATTTTGTTGTTGGAAGTCTTACAAAAGTCAAAAGGAAAGTGATAGCTTTAGTGCCACCCTTTTATGATAAATATGCATTGAAGAATATTGTTGGACCCACACAGACCCCACAGGCTGGTCACTTGAAGTGCTTTAAAGACACTGATGTACATTCTTACTCATAATACTCATATGAAAAGTAAATAATTACCACAGTTCAATTAAGTCAGAAAGTATCTCTAATGCTTGGCTACTTTTATATATTTGCTAGAACCTGGTTAACATTTCGACCAAGTTTTGAAGGCCTAAATAAATAAAATCAGGTGGATATTCTCTTTCAATTAACTGGCCTAAATAAAAGTTATGGAAGTCTGTTTGTTCAGAAATGTAGTCAGTCTGTATCAAAGGAGTTTATGCACATTTGAATTGTTACCAGGACAGAAAGATAGTTTTCCACCTAAAATGTTCAAAAAGAAAATAAAAACAATAAATAAAAATAAATGAATTCCCTTCAACATTTTATTTTTTCTTTCTACTTGTAAATGTTAGTTTCAGGAAAACATTCCTAAGTCTTTGAAATTAAAGACTTAAGTTTCTTCATATATTTTTTATAATAAAAAAACAAGTCCATCTGTGACAGAATTACTTCATTAATTGCCTGTTACTTTACCAGGCAACACTTTTCCCTTTACGTTTTTCTCTGCAGTCATCATTAGCAGACGGTCCTCACAATACAGTCAATCCAAATCCAATGAAAATCTTGGAAACAGGCTGACATATATAAACACGGACGGGCCAGAAGCCAGTCATACGTTTTAGCCAGTGTCCTTTTACGCAGGAGCTGTGGGGCTTCACGCAAACACCTGCATCTTCCCATTGGCTTCTGGGAGTTGGGAAATTTGGGTTTGAGCAGCACCAGCGACCGCTGGACTGGGGGTAGAATCTGACCAATCAGAAACACACTGAGGAGAGGGGCTGGACCAGGGCTCGGGGGACTCGGGAGACGGGGTCAGGTAGGGATGCTCACTGGGCAAGCGGAGGTAATGCTTGGGTGTTGTATCCAGTGCAGAAGTGTAGCTATGTTGAGACGGTGGGGTGGGGTAGTCCTCTGTACCTGCAGTACTCGCACTGGGCTGTGGGGGCAGTGGCTGCGGGGTCTGTGTTATTGGAGTGGATGTTTGTGCTGGCTGAGTCTGTGGCTGCTGTTGGGCAGGTGTCTGGGACATCTGCTGTGCCTGCTGTTGGAAGAAGGAGGGGGCAGGCTGAGAGCTCTGGGGTGTGGGGGGTGTGGATGTAGTCAGACTGATCAGCTGCTGTTGATGCTCTGCGATGGAGGGCAGTTTGACTGGACTGATGGAGGGGGCAGCGCTGACCGGTGTGGGCTGGAGCATGGCGTTGCGGTACATCTGCTGGTGCAGCATCATGTTCTGTTGCTGCAGTGCAGGGCTCTGCGGGTGCATGCCCGCCTGACTGCTATGGACCAGATTCACAACCTGCTGACCACACTGAGAGGACGGAGGCATCCGACTGTGCCAGTCAAAGGGCACACTGACCGGACTGACCATGCCCATGTTGAGCCCCATCTGACCTGAACTCAGCACAAAGCCATGGTTAACATCAGAGGGCATGGACACTCGGCCCTGCAGAGACATGCCCCCAGTACCCAGGTCATTCAGCTGTGCCAGAGATACCGCAAAGGGACCAGCTCCATCCATTAGGCTACTGTGCACCATTGGGGTGTTTGGGACAGACATAGACGAGTGGAAGAGGCCTGGAGAAGGCATAGCCACTGGTGAAGTGGGGTTGGTGATGTAGCCAGCGTTGCTTGCTCCTCCATGTGGTGAGTCCAGAGAGTCGACAGGGGACAGAGTGACTGAGCTCTCCAGTAATGCACTCTGCATGTCTAAGGTTAACTTCTTATTGCGTGCTTTGACAGACTCCTTCAGACTGCCATGCTGGCCCCCGAGGCCTGAGCCCTTTGACCCGGGTCGGCGGTTCTTCTTTCCTTGAGGAGTGGTTTTCAGACTTGGGAGGAAGGCACTTGGAGGGCACATGAGAGGAGAGAGTGTGTGTGCCCCAGGCAGGTGATGTCCAGCCCCTCCATGGCCCTGAGGACTTCTCACTGTGTTGTACTCATCCAGAAGCTGCACTATGTCATGATGCATGCGTTCCTGTGCAATGTCCCGGGGCAGTCTGTCCATGTGATCTGTGATTTCACGATTAGCAAAGTGAGCCAGGAGCACCTTCACAGCCTCACAGCTTCCCTCACGTGCAGCTAGGAACAGAGGAGTCTCCTCCTGAAAGGTAGAAGAGATAAACAAGGTGACCAGGCTGCAAATGCACTAACACAGTTAGTCATAATTACAGGCTTTACCTTGAGATCTTGCATATCTTTGTTTGCACCATTCTTCAGCAAAGCCACAGTGGCATCTACATTGTTCACTGCTGCTGCCCAGTGAAGTGCAGATTTACCTAAAATATAGCATTTGTTTTAATGGTCCATTTTATGTGAAAGTCCATCATTTGTGTGTCAAACTAAATTAAACATACTTACCTAATTCATCGACCGCATTAACATCAGCATGGCATGTGATAAGTTCCTCTACCATGCCCTCTACTGCTAACCGGGCAGCTAGGATAAGAGCAGTGGAGCCATCGTACATGCGAGAGTCCAGATCAGTAGCCCGGTTTCGAATTAAAATCTACAAAAATACATACATTGTTAGTTATATTGTAGGACACATATGTTTAACTTACAACAGTCATGTTAGACAAATAAATATATTCTAGACAGATTACCTGGAAGACTCCCTGTGCATCTGCAGCCACTGCCGCATGGAGAGGAGTCCGCCCAGTGTTGTCCTGAGCATTGGCATCTGCTCCAGCATCCAGGAGCCTCTTAGCAGCATCAGCACGGGCGTAGCGAGCAGCCAGGTGCAGTGCTGTCTCACCTGTGCGATCAGTTTGAGCGGCAAGGGATGCGCCCTGATATATGAGGTCAGAAATGATGTTTGCCGAACACTCCTCATTTTCCTCTTCTTCTGCCACTTCAGACTCAAGGCCTCCTCCACAGAATGATGCCAACATCAGAGGGGTGA